CAACAAATGTACATTGTCAGCACCTATAATAACCAATGGACGAGCGTCAATCAACTCTGACAAAGGCACATCTTTAAGATGAAAGAATTTCCTCTTTGTGTCTTGTGTTGGATATGAATAACTCCTCAGTGTCAGCATGGGGGATGAAAATGCATCATCTAAGTTGCACCTGTTGTGAGTTTCACCTCTCGCAGATATTTGTAAGTTTAAATTCCATCCAGGGATATCTGTCAACCCATCTTCCACTGTCTTCAAACAATTGTCTTTCGTGCCCTTTAGGTTTAACTGTGCCATCCCCTCGGTAAGCAGCATAGTTCTCATGGACCCATCATCTAATACGGCATAGGTGTCAATCAGGCTAGTTGGACTATATATAGTCAAAGGAAAAATCTTTAGGAATACGTCTCTCGGTTTAACCTGCTGGCACAAACTGTACAGTTGGCTGGTTGCTGTGGCTGGAAGAGAATGAGGAGTTGGTGTTAGGGTGTCATGCAATACTCTAAGGTGAATCTTTGAGCATAATTTGCAGCCCTTTCGTAGAGTGCACTCTGAGGTGCTGTGTTTGTCTTGCACAGTTTCGACACCTGTTATTGTGGCTTATCCAGTCGATCATCTGGCATTTTTTCAATTCTCTGAAGTTTTTGCCACCCCCAAGAAAGTGTTCAGTACTGTTGCAATATGGACAGAACATTCTAGGTATACTTCTTGCTATCTTTAGCTTGCGTGAAATTTATGGTTGTTGGGGATCGCTGATTCTTTATATTAATCCTGTGTACGGGTTTTTGCTTTTCTGGTTTTTTATTGGTCAGAGTTGTGCCAAATACAGGGTCGTCTTCCCTGTCCCTGGCTTTCTGGACGAAGTCGACAAGGTGTTTAAGTGTTGCAGTGGTACCTTTCGCTTTCAGTTTGAAGTTAACATCTTTCCATTTATTTCTGAGGAATAGCGGCATAATCTGTACAATTTTGGACAATCCATCCATTGTGTCTAGTTCGGCTAGTTTCCCCAATGCTTCCAGAGTGCCACAGCAATTGCCCAGATAGTTTGTGAAATCGCTGAGGGAGTCGATGGTGACTGCATCGCTCATTAATATTTTGTCACTCCAGGCTTTAGTGATTTTATCAGCATCTCCAAACTTTTCTTTCAACTTCTTAAGAGCTGTTTGGTACCCTTCTGTGGCTGGCTTTAGTACGCAGTACTGAATAGAGGAATAGGCTGTTCCCTCACAGAGGGAAAGTAAATGCTGTAGTTTAACGTCATCATCAGGTATCTGTAAAACTGTACTATGGAATGAAGTGATGAAGGCATGGTAGCGTAATGGGTCGCCACGACCTTCTTTGGCTGGCTTCGAGGTAAGGCGATTGCTCACAGTAGACCTTCGCAATTAAATGCATTCACATCCGATGAGCCACTACTAGCTGTGGATAAAAGAGAGGTTAGTGACATTGTTATCATCAATCACATCATTTACATCATCGTCTACCTGGTCATTATTACTTTCATTGCTATCACTAACATTATCATTGAATTATTATTTTGAGTATTATTAGGACTTGTATCATTGTGAATACTACTAGCACCATTGCTACCATCTACAATAACAACATTATCTTTTCCACTAGAACTTAATTTGCTCTGTAACTCATTAGTAATTCGTTTTATCTGTTCATTCTCAAATAGATATTGTTCTTAACATACTTCCATCCTGGCCTCTTCAGTGGCGTAATCTTCTTCCTTTTCCAGTTATGTGTGTTTCTCCTCCACTGTTTGGAATAAATCTCTCAATAGAGCAGCCCTCTTCGTAATCTCTGGTAAATCAGGGTTTTCCTGCAAACATAGCCTCTTCAGTGTAGTGCATTGTCTGGTTAGGTTTCCCTTAGCATTGCGTCGTATAATTTTGAGTTTCTTCTGTTCAGCTCCCATGTTTTATCCGGCTCGAGGGACCATGTCAAAAAGGGTGGTTGATATTTTGTCTGTATATATTATGTCTGTATTAAATGCTGTAATATTGGTTCGGGTAACGGTAGAATGACTGTACACAACTGTTCCAAGTTGACACAATGGTAGTATATTGTAGATGATGATAACACTTTACCATGTGAGCGTATGTGCTCAAGCAAGTTTATCAATACAGTAGATGAGTGATATTAAAATACGTTCCCCTAGATTAGTAGAGTACAGTATTGCGTAGTGCGTAATGCGGTGCGTGGGGTAGTTTACACTATACTGTAGTGGGGGAGGTAGTGTGTGTGGTGGTAATGTGTGTTCATTTATCACTGTAATAAATCAGAAACGATAAAATAGTAATAAACAATATCAATATAGTAATTAAAGGCATAATATAGGTCTATCATATGAATCTTTAACATATCATATAAAATAGTAACAGAATGCACTCTCCTGAGCAATTGTCGTCTCAGGTAGGCCTAACTAGTAAACAAGTACTGTATGAGTCACGTGACCTAAACTTATCAAACGAGGGAATCCCTCGCTGCACGAATCAGTGTGAACAGCATCCTGAACAACGTCAGCTGGCCTAAAGTTGAAAGCCTATTAACACTTAATTAGACAAAATACGTTCACAACAGTAAGGTTATACAAGTAACAAGCAATACGGTTCATAATTATTACAACATACAAAAACACTGGTAATTAACGTTATTGATGTTGAAGTTGAAACGCCGGATTCCTTAATTTTACAGACAGGTTGCGAACAAGTTCGCTAGCGCGCGTGCACTGCCCGTTGAGCGCAACGAGCGATGAGGGATCAGTCACCAAATAGATACTTTGCAACAGACGTATTCAATTCCCCATAATCAAGTAAGGAGAAAAGTCCCTCATGCCACTAACACTAAAACCAGAAAAAAAAAACCAAAAACGACATACGTATGTCGAAATTTCGACATAATATGTCGTAATTACGACTTACATATGTCGAAATTTCGACATAATAAGTCGTAATTACGACATACGTATGTAACACACAACAAATTTTAAACTGATAAACATCTCTTTCGTATCGATTAATCACTATATTAACACGGTTTGTCGCCTGATAGGGCCATAAATTTTAGAGTAACCTCCGGGAGTTTAGTCGTGGTACTATCGTGATTATTTTTTCTTTTATTTATGAAAGCTGAAAAGCGGAATAATTCGGGGTTTGGGCGGGACAGCTGGACACGACTCCGAAAAGCGGGACAATCCCGCCGAAAGCGGGACAGTTGGAATCTATGCCGATGTTCTTGTTATTAGTGAGTTACCCTAAGCTAAAAGAAATTCCAAAACGAAAAATAGGAGCATAGAAACTACAGTGTTTTTGCAAACAAGAAGGATGGATAACCCAAGTAAAAAGTGGCAAGACGTTGGTGGCACTCTTTCAAAATAGACACGCGGAACATCGTAGGCTACGGTACCCTGTAGCTTTTCAACGACTAGGTCTCAGGTAGGCCCTAAAGCCGAGGCTAGGCCTGGCCTAGTTGATAATACAGGAACTTCTATTGCGCCTTTTGCCAAGAGATACAATAGGCGCAATCAAAATAAATAAAAAAAGATAACTAATTTGGGATCAACAAAGACACCAGAAATGACAAAAAAACAGAAACTTTAGACAGTTAAGTGAGATTCATTTAGGAAAACAATGTTTCTTCAGAAGCCGACGAAGTCGGCATTAAGGTATGTCTAGACTTAGGCCTTGTTTTTTGGCAAGCCCGGGCACATGTACTACTAGCCTTCTCCCTAGCCCACTTAATTTTTGTACTAGGCCTAATTATTTCAAACACTTAATTTTTGTATTATTTGTAATGCTTATACGCACCCCCTCCCTTTCAAAATTGTCAATGATCACTAACGAGTGCCCAAGTGATATAAAAATTTCAACCATTTTCAAATAGGCCTTGTTGACACTGTTCAAAAAAGCTGTGAAACTATAATTTAAAATAGAGGGCGTCCTCTTGAGTTGCACTGCCATTACAGTTTTGCAATGTTCTGCACTGTGACTCCAGTTTTGCACTGTGACTCTGTGTTTTGCACTAACTAAGTTTTGCACTGTGACTCTCAGTTTTGCACTGCTGGCTATCAGTTTTGCGCTGCTGCTACCAATTGTATTTTGTCCTTTTGGCGTTCCATAGATCGGGCGCGCAATACGCAGGCTAGCTCAGCTCTCGTCTGTTGCTGCATAGATAGTAAGCCTATATAGATAGGCCTAGATGCAATTATTGTGGACATGAAATAATGTGTTATAAATAAAAGAAGTACAGTAGTAAAAATATAGCCTCTAACTAGCCTACCTCGTGCCGATCGATCCGCTCATCCACAATAAGCGTAAACAGTTTGGCTATCAAGTTTTCAAGAGGTTAAATGGCGCCTGCTGCTGATTGTTCAGAATAACCTTGTGTTGAATTTTTATTTTCATGTTCCTGTGCGCAGGCTTCGTACCAATCATTTGTTCCGTACTCTTTTACTAATGGTATTTTTCGTCGTGTTGCACTTTCTTATAATAATCTAGTTCAAATTTTCCCTAATATTGATATTTTTAATTGTAATATTTCTATTTTTAATCTTATACTAAATACCGGCTTTTAATATATTATTACAATTTTTTTTTTATGCTTTTTATGTTCAAAAAAAAAATTAAAAAAAAATTATATATTTGTATGAATGATATTATATATTTTTATGGCGACTCTGTTATTGGTGTTTTTGATACACTGTTGAGTCTTGAATAAATAAATAAAAAATATAATAAATAAAATTTAAAAAAAACGTATATTTTTTTTTCCGATGGCGTTTAAAGCCATTTCTCCGAATCCGGACTCCTGAGCAAGTCTACCGGATACCGGTCAGTCCTGATATTGTGAACGCTTCTATTCTTTACCACTGAACCCATTTCTCACAATTTTTTCTCTGGGCTTGGTATGCTTAAAGTTAAGGTTAACGTCGTGCGGCGAAAACTACCATTTAATTGGTGGGGGACATGTATTTTTATTCAAAATGCGTATGCACACAGCCCAGAAAATCCTGGCGATGACTCTGATATGGATTTCAGATTTAGCATCCTTTTACTTTGATTGTGGCTGCCAATTTTTTAGCACTCACATTTAGACAAAATGAAATATGTTATGTTAATGCTATGACTTGTTTTTAATTATTACAAAATCCTTTTTTATCAAGGTATTGATATTTCAAATGATATGATCAACGTTGCCAGACAAAAATATCAACTCGCAAACGTAACGTATGAAGTTGCAGACGCTAACAACTTTGTTGAAAAATTTCCCAAGTGGGAAGGTAGATTTGACAAGGTTGTTTCAGTTCATGCTTTACACTGGGTACAGGATAAAGCTAGTGCAATGCGTAACATCTACAACTGCCTAAAAATCGACGGGGGGTGTTTTCTCTTGTTCTGTGGACCGACACATCAAATGCTAGGCCAAAAACCTGATGAACTTCCCTATTATTTGAAACATCACAGCAATTGGAAGAAACACCTCAAGGTTTGGAAAATGTTTTACAGTATTACAATTATAAAATGCGGCATGTTGTGGCAAAATTGCTAAGTTGTAGCAAAAATTGAAATTCAATTTATTGGTATGTTCAGATACCTGAGTATGTGATCTGTAAAATGAAGGGTCATTCATTGAAATTGGAAAGTGAAAGTACAGTACTCTTAGAATCAAGATAAACATGATTTTTAGTAATTGCCTTTCAAAGTTATTTGTGCATACATTGTTTAATAGAATAAATTATCAAGATAAAAAACAATTTGTTGACCACTTCCAGAACTAATACTTTGGTACATGATTAATAAGTAATTAAACTGTTGATCTATAATGAAAAACAAATTTGGATTTTCAGGAAATTTTTTAGCTCCCATATTTTATAGCTCATTTACTCAATACTGGCCTGCGCGATAACTTAACCATTTTGCCATGACATGCCTCAAATAAGCGTTAAACAACTTAACATAAGTTATTGTTTGTGAAAATTACAAATTTGTTTATTTACTTTATAGGGTTACGTTCACAGAATGTACAATCAGTTTGACCTAGATGACACCCAGAAGTTGTTGGAATCTGTAGGTTTTGAAGTACTTAGTGGAACGTCACATACTCCATGTGAAAATATAGACATCTCCAGTGAAGACGAATTAAAAGGTACGGTAAAGCATTTTATTTGACAGTAACACGTGACATGCCCAAATATGGTCAATAGGCACATCATGACTACTGTATTATGGGCATACAACAATTTTTTTTTATTAAATACGATTTGACAGAGCTTAGCAAGGCATAGTTTGCTGTACGGTATTAATTTAATTAGTCTTAACTCATTTAAAATATAGGCCTATATTCAAGTTCAAGTTTATTTCAAAATATCATTATTGTAGCTTTGCAGCTAAATTGCGAATGATACATTAGGAAAAAAAATAGACCTGGGTCTATACATTGCACAAAGATTACGAAACAACATTTATATATAAATTCAAAATATAAGGGTAAAAAAGATACACAACAGTAAAAATATATTGATTTAAAAATTTAACATATTAAACTATGATTTAGGTTTAGGATGAACTGATTAATCTGGGCTTAATGTTAATATTGAGGTTCAAGTATTATACCTTACAAGCAGTGGCGGCGTCAGCGGGGGACAGTGGGGAATTTTAACCTCCGTAGGACAGGACAGGAGCCCCCTTTCGGTGGACGAATGACTAGGTTGTCAGATAAAAAATTTAAAAAAAATAATTTTCCTATCCAAATAACGTTATTTTGCCTACCAATCCATAATTGTGGTCTAAAAGCACATTTTGGACCATACTAAGCATAAGGCACAAAAACTCTATTCCGGGCCGTCGACAAATTTCCGGTGCTTAGAAATGTAACATTTTACATGATTATTTTTTAAAACCTCCAATATTTTAATGAGAGAAATATTGCGAATTTCCAAAGTAGGTAAAATTTTTAATTTTTTTATTTTCCAGAATACCTGCGTACACTCCTTGGGCACCTAGGATATTTGCCACAGCAGTACCATACAGAGTTTATTCAAGATGCGAGTGACTGGTGTTATAAAAAATTTCCTATCAATCAATTAGGAAATATATACAATAAGGTGACAGTAATTGTCGTTCATGCTGTTAAAAAGAAAATTGTGTCAGACACACAAAAAAAATAAATGGAATTCAAATTATATTGCCACTTTGGAATTCAAATTATATTGTAACCATGAAAACACAAGGTCTTTCGTGGTTATGACCTCCATCATTGTAAGGGATGGAGGCTGGGCTTTTTTTCTTTCAAAGATATGAATGAATTTATAATATTCATTAAATGTCTACAATGTCAGTCGCTTGAAGCACACAATCAACAGATCCAAGTTCCATATACATTTTTATTTATAAATATTAACAGTGGACAATATTGAGAGATGAATTCGCAATCCACCTAGTTAACAATGACATAATACTCTTTACTAAAAACATCTAACGTTATGATTAAAATATACAAATTGAAATATTTATATACATTTAAAAATGACATAATAATAAAAATAGTAATAAAATATCGGTCTTCTTTTCACATAATGGCTCTTGCTATTTTGTCCATAGCATTAATTGTTGTCATGTCACAAAAAAAAAAAAAAAAAATATTACGATGTAAATTAAAATAAAAGACAAGGTCTGGAATGTCAATGCTTAATATGTTATTCTATGTCTAGGTAGAAATTACTTCATAGGCTAAAAAAGATATCTTTTATTTGCACGAGTTAAAAGTATGTGTGTAATTTTCTGCATACACAAGTACTAAATACAGTGGTGTTGCATGAACCCCCATTATCTAATTCCACATTATAATTTGCATATGCAAACTAAGCTAATGTAATTGAATTCAGAAAAGAGCCGGGAAGACGCACGTGTCAGCATATGTTTTTACGCTAAAGTTTAGTGGGACGTGGCTTAGCGGAAAAGTCACATTTTCGGCCATCTTAAACCATAAAAAAAGCATCCCCAATTAACTACACCAGACATTTTATTCACGGACGTTGACCTCCGAGGCTTATATACATAGGTGGCCCCTTAGCTTAACCACCACTGACTAAGGCATTGTGAAACCTTACTATTGTGTATAAGTATAACAATGGTGATCCTTGTTTAGCATGTGAATACATCAGCTGGTTTTCACACTGATTAATATGATTATACAGGGGCGGATCCAGAGATGTCCAAAAGGGGGGGGGGCCGAAAGTGGGGGCCGAAATTTGGGCCGATCGAGACAACAATGTCCTAGGGGGTCCGGGGGAATGCCCCCGCGAAATTTTTGTGTTCTAGACGCCCGAAAATAACATTTGAAGCGTTGTGGGCTATCATTTTTTTCTTTTTCTTTCTTTTTTCCTTTTTTTTTTCTTTTCTTTACCTTCCAAAAGGGGGGGCCGGGGCCGGGCCGGCCCCCACTAAATCCGCCCCTGTTATACATAAGCTTTAAATGCCCAACCACTTTTTACCCACAATTTACTGAGGTAATAATTGAGATAAAAACGTAACATTTACACTTTCTCCTGTTAAAATTTCTGACATTTCGAACTAAATAATAAAAAAATATAGTAAACACAGCAATACCAATGATAATACCATCCAATACCAATAATAATATTATTATGGTAATTATAATAAACTATAAGTATTATTGGCCTATAAAATAACATTATTATGATAGTAATAAAAATTAATATTTATAAAATTAATACAGTACTAATAATTAATACACACTGATAAAATTAATTGCATTAATATAATAGAAATTCAATGTCAATAATAATTGATTAGATTAGATAATATCAATATTTGAGTACTTATGACTAATGTCCTATTCAATTCAATTATAATTAAAGAAAACATATCAGTAATTATTGACATCTCTTTCATTCAATATCGACACGCGAAGTCGACAATAATATAATACGTGTAGCATGCAGGCGACATGAGGCCTGACCACAATTTTCTTGTTGCCCGCGAAAGTGATTGTAAAACTGTATTTGTGCAGCCCGCTTACCATTCCTCGCTCAAAAACGCACCATTGTTGTCGCTAATAACCTGTAAAAGTATACTGATATAAAAAGATTAATAGGCCTACAATAATACTGTAATTCAATTTAAAACATTCTTGTCCGAATGTTCTAAAATTAAACACTTTGGCTCATTCTTGGTTTAAGACTTTCTTGTTACCCTTTAAACTGAGTAATATGCTTGATATTGATTGTTTTTGTAGTTTTGTTTTTAGAAGAGTATAGATTTAGAGGATAGTTTACTAAAAAAAAAACTTCATCACAATAATAGTTACAATATTCATAACTGTTTTAAAAATGAGGTTAAAAAACAATCAGCCCCGCTCTACTACAGTGGCATATCTAGGGGTTGCGTCGGATTGGGTGCAAACCAACTGGAGGGGGGGGGGGACATTAAGCCCAAGTAGTTAAAAATCATTTTATAATGCTAGATAGCACCCATTAACTTATGTAGCCCCCCTTACTTCACCTTCATTTCCCCCCTCCCCACCATTTCAAGTCTATTAGATACACCAGTGCTATATTGGTTTCTTCATTCAAGCTTCTTTTCTCGGTGCATGGCCTGAAGCAGATTATGTACTAGCAAAGCCAGAATCTTGTTCATAGGATCCATTGCGCCTCTCTGGAACCACTTCGGTATCGTTGTCCTTGCATGCTTGAATCCTAACTTATTTAATATATAGTCAGCTCCCAAAGCCTCGATTTCTTTTCCACCAAGAGACAGTAGCCTATTGGAGTAAGAAGAAATATTTATCAATGTACTGTATTCATTCGTGTCTAAATGCATGGCCCATCCCATTACTTTGAAGGGGTTTTTCAGAAATTGGCAAATGTTACATTAGCCAGACATATTTACAAAACAAGTTCTCGTAATCTCGAAAGCTCTGATGAGATTCTAGTGGCCTTAACAACCACCCATACAAAGAAGATCTATCAGCAATCAATCAATCAGCCGAGTGATTCTAGTTGCCCTAATGGCCGCCCATACAACAAATATCTATCAATTAATCAGCAGGGTATTCCTAGAGCTCCTCATCGGAGCTAAAAAGTTGCACTTACCTAACTGTAGGTTCAAGTTGCCATGTTGTGCACTGAAACACTCGCCAGTCTTCTTCACCACGGGATGGAGTCATGTCTGCTAATTTCTTGTCTGGGGCTAAAGGCGTAGTATTTGAAAGATCTAGAATAGAAATACAATATACAATAAAAAGAAAAACAAAGACAATTTAAAAGTAAAGAACTGAAGTTTAAAATATTCAGTTAGAAAACCTTATTGCTCCAATCGAGCACTAGACCAATTCACTACCACTCAGTTGCTTCTGATTAGACGAAAGGTAGTTTGTGCTGAAGCCCCTAGTTCAAACATGACATAGCAAAACAACGCAACTTGAAATTTTTTTTGCATGTTTCAAACTTTGCAAAAATTGTCGTACCCTATTATTATAATCACAGTGTCTATAGACACTATGATTATATGTGTAATTTTAATTACAACCGTTTGTTTATTACAAAGTCATAAGTGACAATTACAGATACGTTTGCCTTTGCCTGGAAAACATGTTAGGCTTGGTATTGTTGCAATTAAGACATATTTTTGAATACCATTTTGAGGCAAAACAACGTACTGTATCTTCATCGTAGATATGTTGTTTTGCCTTTTAGTTATGTTGTTTTGCCACCAAAAACCACTAGATTTTATGTCTTGTGCTTAAAGATATGTGGTGCTATCTCCGAAACGAATCATTATTGAGACCTGAAATTTTCACAGGTAATTCAGACGTGTTTACTCCCAAATGATATTATCTAAAAATTGACAAAAATGTCAGTAACGTTACGTTTGATTTTACACCGAGGGCCGCACCCAAATTTTAAGACGTTTCCAGCGTGCTTCTTATACCTTCATGCACTGCTTTTATTACACTTTATTCTCAGTTTTGATACAATTTTTTTTAAATGATCGGTGTCTGCCCATAAAATATAAGTTGTTTTTTCCATAGATGTTTGGCAGGCTGCGCACATAGGATTTTTAATTTTCGCACACTGTCCACCTGTGATTTAGGAAATTAGCAGCAATGTTTGGTTAAAAATGCTATCACTAATATGTTTTTGCTCATGTAGTCAAAAATACAGACAAGCCAACACAATTTGCAACTTTTTGCCTAGTGGAAAACTACCATTCTGAGAAAGAGGTATCGCTGGAAGGGAAAAAAAAACAAAAAATATTTATATTAAGTACCTTTATCTTTTTTGTCGATGTAACTTGAGACAAGATCGTGTAAAAATATAACCAGTTCTATGTCCATTGCCATGTGTATGTGATCGTCAAATTGAGTTATAAAAGTTACATCCACGGTTGGCTTCTCATCTGGATTGAAAAGAAAAAACACCATTCAAAAAACATTTACAGTAAGTCATTTGACAAACGAATATTATAAACAAACGAATAAAAGGTCTGAAACACTAACAAATTTTAAAAATATTTTAAGTAGATTAAAAATGGCTTCAAACCTTTAAATGGTGAAGTTTGTGGCAATATTGGAATAATAATACTGTTACAAAACTGACATGGATAATAATAATAATAATTTATTCATTAATATGGCACAAGTTCCATTAGAATATGTTCAAATGTGCATTACAATAAAATAGAAAAGAATATTACAAATTAACAATATAAAAAAGGAAGATAAAATTCAGGGAAGCTAAAATTACCCATTCATATCAACCAAATATTGGGGTAATATTGCCGAAATATATTACGCCTTTCTGTATGAATGGATCATGTATGCTCAGAGAGCCATCGGCCAATCTTTTTAGTCATCTTCACAAACTGAGGGTGTACTTTATTGTTTATTTTTTTGTAGGAGTAATATTACGGGAATGTGATTTGCTTAATTTTTCTGTGCTTGTTTCGGACACACTCCAGAGCGCACCCAGACGGGAAATACTGCGGCAATAGCTGGGTCTGAAAATGGAATGCTACAGAATCCGCATATCACGATTGCAGTTAATCCTCAACTCTGTCTGAAAGTTATTATTTATTTCTTCTTTAACCTGGGTGGCCTGTTCAGTATTGGACACTGCTCTCCCACAGGGCCCAGGATCAACAAAAAATGCGTTTTCTGCCAGTTTCAGTTCTTGTCCTTCAAAGGAAGGGCAAAACACCTCGCCAGGCTGGATCTGGTGTTGTGATTGTGAACTCTGCCCAAGGGGGTGAACACATCAATTAAATAGATGGGAACTCCGCCATTCAAGCATTTAGTGACCAAATTTAGTATATGCTTATCTCTCCTTTCAGAAAGAATTGACCACCCCAAGCACTGATGCAAATTAATAATATTAGTTCTAATTTCAGCTTTTAAGATAAGTCGCGCAGCTCTATTCTGTAGTATTTGAATTTTATTCGCTAATCCTTTACTAAGGTTAGCCCACACAATATCTGCATAATCAAATAATGGCAAAATAACAGATTTATAAAGTTGATTAAGTGAATTTATATCAATGTAACAACGAATTCTCCCGAGCATACCAATCCTACTACTTACTTTTTTACTAAGCTTATCAACATGGGTATTCCAGGAGAGGGAAGGGTCAAGCCAAATTCCCAAATATTTAAAACTATCAGTAGCTTGAATGGCGGAGTTGCTTAATTTGAATAAAAATACAATTTTCGGAACGTTATTTATTATTAAGCTGTCCAGATTATCAAATTTTCTATATATGGGCATACAAAAAACCTTTGTATGCCCATATATAGTCATGATGTGGCTATAATATAACCATATTTAGGCAAGTCACATGTTTTTGTCAAATAAAATTTGATAGTCTGGACAGGGCTTACCGGTGGGAACATTTTTTCCTTGCTGATGCTTTGACCTCATCGGCAAATGAAGCTTCGGAAGACAAAAGACTGGGACTGCGTCATGTTTGTATTTCACATGTCCCTGAACAGTTGGAATGGCTTGAAAGAATGGACGAAGATCTAAATAGCAAACAAATTTTACTGATGAGATTTTACTGATGAAATCTAAATATCTGAATCTATAACACATCTAAATGTGGCAAAGACAAGCCAAACCAGTCACTTGTTGCAAAAAAAAAAATCAATTTTTAGTTGTTAATACTGGGTTAAACC